CTCGATCCTCGTGGATCCTCGATCCTCCTCGCTCCCCCTCCTCGCTCCTCCTGGCTCCAGGCTCCAGGCTCCAGGCTCCTCGCTCCTCGCTCCTCGCTCCTCGCTCCTCGCTCCTCGCTCCTCGTCCTCCTCCTCCTCCTCCGCCTCCTCCTCCTCTCCTTAGACATCAGGGGTCAAGCCAGAGCCACAGCAGCACCTGCTGTGGAAGAGCCGCTCAGTCAGACGGCAGATACGGATCCAACGGAGAGCACAATCTCGCCCCCAACGCGAGCTCGAACAACTCCTCATCACCAATATGCTTAAGAGAAACCAGACGCAACTCATCCACGAAGGCACAACACAACAGTTCATAGAAGGCAGGAGGCAGTGACTGGTCGAAACTCAATATTTTGTTTTGTATTATATCTCTCTCTCTCTCTCTCTCTCTAGTGCACGTGAGCATGCGTACCAAGACACCCCCATCCCCCCACATTGAGGAGCCTGGTGCTCATCGTCGTCAAGCTGACGCCTAGCACTGCAACGGGCTCCCAGTCAAGCCGTCCTGTGACAGCACACATCTCGACCTCGTGGAGATGGACCCCCTCATGCTGAATTAGATCCCTGATCCCTGGAAAAAACATTCCAATCCAGACCAGTCCCGAACTTCTGCAACCCCACCAAGGCCGAGGGGACACGCACACTTCTGGCCGCGCAGGCCAACACAACCACACCACGAATTTCCAGATTTTCGTCCCCGACCACTTCCCTCTCTTTGGCATTCATTCCTCCTCCTCCTCCTCCTCCTCCTCCTCCTCCTCCTCCTCCAGTCAGTTTCTTTAGAACTCCGCCGCTCTGGCGTGTGAGTTTGTGAGACCGTGGGCTTGAGCTCGCTCAAGCTCCGCTCTGGAGAGGGGAGGCGGGGGTGACGAATTCCAGCGCAATTCACTGAACGCACAAGCTCTGGAGAAGGGGGGGGGACGCTTCGCTCTGGAGAGGGGGGGGCGGGGGGACGACTTCCAACGGAGTTCACTAAACGCACAAGCCCCCGGGGGTGGGGGACGAATTTCAACGGAATTCACTGAACGCACAAACTCTGGAGAAGGGGGGGGACGCTTCGCTCTGGAGAGGGGAAGGGGGGGAATTCCAACGGAATTCACTGAACGCACAAGCTCTGGAGAGGGGGGGGGGCGATTTCCAACTGAATTAACTTGAACGCACAAGCTCCCGCGCCTCCCACGCATACCACTACTTCCTCTATACTTCCGAAGAAGCTTTATTGTTCCCTGACCCCCCCCCTCTCCCCGACAGCCCCCCCCAGACAAAAAACAAATTAGAACCCCCCCTTCCAGGACGGCCCCACCCTCTCGTCAGAACCCTCCCCCCCTCTCACGAACTTATGATTTCCCCCCCCTCTCCGACAGAGATTTCCTTCTCCCGATCAGACCCCTCCCGTATCTCAACCCACTCCCCTTTTCCGACAGACCCCCCCTAGAACAGCAGCAAAAGCAGCAGCAGCAACAGCAGCAGCAGCAACAGCATCAGACTCCCCCGCTGCCTCTCTTCGCCGACACACTTGCTCCCCCTTTCTCCGATAGACTCCCCCCATCTCCCCCTCCCCCCCTACACCGACGTCTTGCGCTGTTAGCCCCCCCTCCAAGACAGACCCCCCCTTCCGACATATCCCGTTCCGCTCTTCCACTTTCTCTCCTACAGCCCCCCCCCCCCTCCAGGACAGAAACCCCCCTCCAAGACAGGACCCCCCCTTTCCGACATATCCCTTTTCCGCTCTTCCGATTTCTCTCCTACAGACCACCCCCGCTCTCACCCCCCCCCCACTCTGACAGACCCCATCCACCCTCCAGGACAGACCTCACCTCTCCGAGAAATCTCCTTCCTTTGTTCCGACAGAGCCTCTCTCCCGTCCTGGACAGACGCCGCCCTCTCTCCCACACTTCCCCAGCCCTTCGACAAGGTCCCCCGCCCCCAACAACAACGACCCCCCCCTCTCCCTTCCGACATATCTCTTTCCGCTCTTCCGCATTCTCTCCTGCAGACCCCCCCCCGCTCCCACAGACACCCCCCCACACACTCCGACTGACCCCCCTACCCAGGACAGACCTCACCTCTCCGAGAAATCTCCCTACTTCCGACAGAGCCTCTCTCCTGTCCTGGACAGACCCGCCCTCTCTCCCACAATCCCCCCCCTTCGACAGACCCCCCACTCCCCCAACAAGAGTAGCTCAAGCAGCAGCAGCAGCAGCAGCAGCAGCAGCAGCAGCAGCAGCAGCAGCAGCAGCAGCAGCAGCAGCAGCATCAGCAACAGCACCAACAGCAGAACGAGCAGCATCAGCAGCATTACTCGCGCACAGCCACAGACGCATCCCAAAGGGCCGCGACGACTGGCAGACATACCCCCCCTGTTTTAGGACAGACCCCACCCCCCTCCGACAGATCTCTTCCCTCCTCCCCGACAGTCCCCCCCCACCCCTCCAGGACAGACCCCCCCTCCGACTGACCCCTCCCCCCAAACAAGAGCAGCACAAGCAGCAGCAGCATCAGCAACAGCACCAACTGCAGCACGAGCAGCATCAGCAGCATTACCAGCGCACTTCCACAGACGCGTCCCAGACGGCCCGCGACGACTCGCAGACACCCCTCTCCTGTTTCAGATCAGATCCCCCCCCCTCCCAGACCGATCTCTTCCCCCCCTCTTCGACAGACCCCCTGGCCTCCAAGACAGACCCCCCCCTCCCCCGGCCATCCCGCACCCACCTCCGAGATGTTCCAAGATGGCCTTCGATGCATCAAAATGAATCCGAAGATGCTTCAAGAGGCCCCGAGACCGCCCCAATATGGCTCCAGACACCAGAGAGCCCCCCAAGGAACCTTCCAAGAAAGCAACACCCTTCGAAAACCTACGGAAAAGGAATGACTTCTGCCCTTCGCCTTTTCTCTTCCGATGACCATCCGAGGCCTCAGGATGCCTCCAAAAGACCCCCGGAGGGACCCAAGAGCGCCCGAGAGAGAAGCCCAAGAGAGTCCCAAGGCCGCCTTAAGAGCGCCCCCCCTGTCACAGACCACAGACACCCCCGCCCACTCCGACAGACCCCCCTTCCTCCAGGACAGACCTCACCTCTCCGAGAAATCTCTTTCCTTCTTTCCGACAGAGCCTCTCTCCTGTCCTGCACAGACCCCGCCCTCTCTCCGACAAGCCCCCCCTCTCCTTCCTTTTTTCCGACTGACCTCTCTCCCCTCCGACAACCCTCCCACTTCGACAGACCCCACCCCCAACAAGAGCAGCACAAGCAGCAGCAGCAGCATCATCAACAGCACCAACAGCAGAACAAGCAGCATCAGCAGCACTACTCGCGCACGGCCACAGACGCATCATCATCATCATCATCATCATCATCATCATCATCATCATCATCATCATCATCATCATCATCATCATCATCATCATCATCATCATCATCATCATCAGCAGCAGCAGCAGCATCATCATCATCATCATCAGCAGCATCAGCATCATCATCAGCAGCAGCATCATTAGCATCACCATCACCAGCATCATCAGCATCATCATCAGCATCATCATCATCACCATCAGCATCATCCTCATCCTCATCCTCATCCTCATCCTCATCCTCATCCTCATCATCACCATCATCATCATCATCATCATCATCATCATCATCATCATCATCATCATCATCATCATCATCATCCCCAGGAATGCCCCGGATCGGCGGCACTGGCCGGAAGCCACTACAAGAATTCCTCCCTGTCACACCCCGAGGCCAGTCGGAAGGGCGCCAGGCGCTTTGCTTGAGACCCTGAAGCTTCAACATGTCGCCCTCGTCTAATGCCACGCACATCCGTATCAGACAATTGCTAGAATTTCACGGATTAAGGGCGGACTGTTTTCAAATTGTGTCTCTCTATCCGTAGCGCCGCGCACATGTGTTGTAACAACTTGCAAGAGCTTCGCGATTGAGAGTGGGCTGTTTTCAAAATGTGGCTCTCGCCTTAGCGCCGCGCACACCCGTCTCAAACAATTGCAAGAATGTTACGGGTTCTCATGGTTGACGTACCAGGTATTGTGTTTCGCAACGATGTAGGACTGGCAGGGCGCAACAGCTACGTTGATTCGCGGCGTTGAAAGCCCAGGAACGGCGTTCTGGTATGATTCAATATCGTCTAGACGCAGCAGTAGGGTCGCTTCGTGGGGTTGAAGCCCCAAGAGTGGTGCTCTGGCACGGCACCGGATTTTCCAACTGTTGTCCCCTAACAGGCAAGTGCTTCAGCGGAAAAGAACCTCCCAGGGACATATGACAAGGGGCTCATTGCAACATCGTTAATGAGTCTTGGGTTAACATTGGTCCTCCTCCTCCTCCTCTTCCTCCTCGTCCGCTTGCTCCTCCTCCTCCGCTTCCTCCTCCTCCTCCTCCTCCTCCTCCTCCTCCTCCTCCTCCTCCCCCTCCTCCCCTTCCTTCCCATCGTCTCCTCGTCCCCTCGTCCCTTCCCCTCAGTCCCTCGTCTCTTCCCCTCGTCCCCTCGTCCTCCCCTTCTTGTCTATCAGGCTCTACGCCTGCAGTGTGCCCCAAAGCGCGGAGCTAAGGCGAGAGCCACATTTTGAAAACGGCCCGCTCTCAATCGTGAAGCTCTTGCAATTTCTTGCAATGAATTGAAAACGGCCCGCCCTCAATCCGTGAAGCTCCTGCAATTGTTTAATACAAATGCGCGCGGCGCTAAGGCGAGAGACACATTTTGGAAGCGACCCGCCCACCTTCTGTGAAACGAATATCAACTTGGAACCTTCAGGGTCACGCCCGGCCCGCGCTTCCGACCGGCCTCGGGGTGCGACAAGGAGGAATCATGTATAGGGAAAAAGAATGGAGGAGGAAGAGGAGAAGGAGGAGGAGCGAGGAGGAGCGAGGAGGAGGAGGAGCGAGGAGGAGCGAGGAGGAGCGAGGAGGAGCGAGGAGGAGCGAGGAGGCCCTGCCCCGCACCGCCTCTGCGGGGCCCCGCGGCAGAGGCGGCGCGATGCAGGGCCGCGGAGCGGCAGGCTCCAGAGCCGCCCGCGCCGCGCCGGTCCCAGGCAGCAGGGCGCCGGGCGCGCGCCGCGTACAGGGCGGCTCCTCGTGCTCCTCCTCCTCCTCCTCCTCCTCTTCTTCCTCCTCTTCCTACTCATCCTCCTCCTCCTCCTCCGCCTCCTTCTCTTCCTTCTCCGCCTCCTCCTCCTCCTCCTCCTCCTCCTTCTCCGCCTCCTCCTCCTCCTCCTCCTCCTCCTCGCTTCTCGCTCCTCGCTCCTCCTCCTCTTCTCCTCCTCCTCCCCCCCTCCTCTTCCTCCTCCTCCTCCTCCCCTCCTCCTCCTCCTCCTCCTCCTCCTCCTCCCCCTCTTCCTCCTCATCCTCCTCGTCCTCCTCCGCCTTGTTCTCCTCCTCCGCCGCCTCCTCCTCCTCCTTTTCTTCTTCCTCCTCCTCCTCCTCTTCCTCCTCCTCCGCCTCCTCCTCCTCCTCCTCCTTCTCCTCACGTCTCGGGCCAGGAGGCTGAAGATACTACAAGGAGCTGGGACGGACATCGGGATGGTTCACAGGACGGGGCCCGTGGCTTCGACCCTCTGGGGATCTTCGGTGCCAGGTGTGTCTCCAACAAAGATGGCTGGTCTCCGAATTGGTGCTGCTAGTTCCCTCGGCAAGCTCCCCGAAGGTGCTTCGGTCGGGCTCAGAATGTACACGTACGGGCTCGGCTCCAAGGTGGACCCCCTTGTGATCTACTCGGGGCATGTCCTGTTCATGTGGGCTACCGCTGTCTGGGAGGCGGTTCCTCAACACCAGGTCCTGGCCAGCACGCTGCGGGCCTCGATCGAGAAGTTCCAGAATTCAGCCCAGCCTTGGAGGTCGGCGTCAACGCCTAGCGACGTTGCTCTTCTCACTGTCCGAGGGCTTGGCTGGGACTTTGTAGACCAGCGCAGCATCAGAGATGACTCGAATGTGGTGCACGATCTGTTCCGGCTGTCCCCGATGCAGGTCAGGGTCCTCGTCAGGCAGGGGGCGGTGAGAGCTTCGGATCGACATGCGCTGCAGTTACAGAACGGCCCTGACGGGCCCCCAGTCTACCCCATCTTCTGGGACGGGATCTCTAGGATGTTCAAGGAGAAGTCGGAGGTCTGGGGCAAGCATCACCAGAGATGCCTTCGAGGACTGGTCTCGGGAGTGCATTGGCCTCAAGCACGTTTATTCGCGCACAACCTGCATGAAGATGAGCTGCGTCAGTTGTGCGGAGGTGCACCAGGCATTTTATGGCACCGTCAGTATGAGTGCCCAGCTCACGCCGTTCAGCGACGAGACCTGGTGAGTGCTCGACTGGGAGGTTGTGCGCTGAAAGTGCAGGAGCTAGGCCCGCTGATGGCGGAGAGGTTTGCGCGGTGCATCTTTCCCCACCCCAGGTCCCTCTTCGACGTCGAGGAGCCCACCCAGACGGTTCATTGGCACCAGCGGCCCGAGACGGGCCTTCTCTCTGGGCTGCTCTTCCAGGACGGGTCAGCGAAAAACATGGGCCTTGACGGGCTCACCCGTGCAGGTTGGAGTATTGTGTCGGTGGACAGGTTCGGGAACGTTGTTTCGGCGGCGTGCGGACCTGTTCCAATGAGTATGGCCCCGCAGCAGACGAGTAAAGACGGGGAAGACTGTGCTGTACGTGTGCTGTCGCAAGCTGGTTCTTCCCCCCCTTTTTCAGTGCCACATCGACTGCCGGAGCACTTTGGACTCGCTGGCCCGTGTGCCTGGGTTCTCCGAGGGCCCTGGGGCCCCGCGTGCCCACCTCTGGGGCCCCGTGTGGAGCGCGTTTGCTCTCAGCGATTCCGAGTGCCACAAGACGTTAGGCCATGCGACTGCCGCTGACATCGAGGCTGGCAGAAGCTCAGAATGGGAACGTCGGGCCAACGGGCGTGCTGACGAGTTTGCTAAGATGGGGGCTGATTGTCACGGAGTCGCTGAGGACGACGCTGACGTGTACAGAGGTTTGCGGTGCCTCGCCCGCCAAGCGTGCAGGTGGGCGGGAAGCGTCGAGGTCACGATGTCGGGGGGGGCCCGTGACACTACAGGTTTAGTGCAGCGCTCGGCAGGCAGCGATGGCCTTCGGCAGCAGCCCTCGCTCGAAGAAGCTGCTGAAGGCCAGGCCCTGGCCGACGATCAAAGGGAGGACGGAGGTTCGTGCGACTTGGGGGAGGAGTGGCGGCCTTTCTCTCGGCAAGTCTTTAGGGCGAACGGTCATGCATTTCTGGCCTGCCCTGTGTTAGAGCCTCCAGGGACCCCCAGGAGTAGGATCCAGTTCTGCTGTAGGTGCGGATCGTGTTTTCTCGGGGGCTCCCAACGCTAGAGCAAGAGGGCCGTGCAGGCCCAAGTCAACTACGGGCGGAATTTCAAACCAGCTGAGAAGGATTCGGCTGGGCAAATTCCCGTCTTATAAGAAGGACCCGAAGAATTTGACTCTGGGGGCCCACGTGGGCCTGAGTCTCGCCGAACGCAGGATCTTGGTCCAGACGCTGCAAGAGGATGGCCTCTCCCCCCAGAGTCTTTCAGGTCCCACCGCTGGCTGCTCCGCAGGGGGCTTCGCCCCGCGGGAGCAGGTTTGGGATTCTTTCGGCCTCGTCGAGTCGGATCTACTCTGGGTCAAGGACTTGGGGCCGACTCCCTCCGAGCCTCGCGCAATGGCGTCGAGTCAGACTCGGAGGCTTCCGACTTTGGCTGATTGTTGGCGACGTGCTGGCTTCAGGCCCGTCCCCAACGACCTCCTCCTCCTCCTCCTCCTCCTCCTCCTCCTCATGTTTTGCTTCCTCCTCCTCCTCCGCCTTCTTCTCCTCCGCCTCATCTTCCTCCTCCTCCGTGTCTTCTTCCTCCTATGCCTTGTTCTTCTCCTCCTCCTCCTCCTCCTCCTCCTCCTCCTCCTCCTCCTTCTCTTCTTCCTCCTCCGCCTCCTCCTCCGCCTCATCCTCTTCCCTCTCCTCCTCCTTTTCTTCTTCCTCCTCCGCCTCATCCTCCTCCTCCGTTTCTTCTTCCTCCTCCGCCTCCTCCTCCTCCGCCTCCTCCTCCTTTTCTTAGACATCCTCCGCCTCCTTCTCCTCCTCCTCCTCCTCCTCCTCCTTTTCTTGTTCCTCCTCCGCCTTCTCCTCCTTTTCTTCTTCCTCCTCCTCCGCCTCCTCCTCCTCCGCGGAGCCTCGTCTGCCGCCCGAGCCCGCGGGAGCGCGGCGACGCGGAGGCCGCCCGTGGCCCTGCGCGCCAAGCCTGGCCAGGGCTGCCAACGTCTCGGAGCAGGTTTGGGCGTCTTGGCCAAACACAGCGTGCCGAGGGAAGGGGGGGGGGGGAACAGAGGAAGACAAAACTGCTCAACACACAACCCTTTTGACGGTCCGCGCGGATTTCTTGGATCTGCGCTGGTCCCCCCTGGCGGCGCCTCCAGCGCCGCCCCTGGCGCGCTCCGCGCACCAGGGAAGGGGGGTCCAACGCAGATCCAAGACATCTGGCCGGACCGTCAAAAGCTTTATGTTTGTGCAGCTTTCTCTTCTTCGGGGGGAAGCGCGGGAGCAAACAAGTGCTGAACACATGTCGGATGGCCAGTTGAGACAACGGCGGCCCTCCTGCCCGGCCAAACTCCGCCCAAAGTCCATCCCCGGAGCCTTCCCCGGGTCCAAACGCATACGTTTTTCAAGCTGGGTTCGGCCCCAAATCGGCCCTTGTCTCAACTGGCCCTCCTCCGACCATGGTGCCTTCAGCCGAGGCTGGAATGCACCCGCAGCTCTTCACCCCTCCAAAGGAGGGCGTGGAGGCCAACATCACGGGGAAGGACTTTGAGGGAAGAGAGGGAAAACGAACGGGAGGACCCCAGGAGGCAAAGATCATTGCTTTTCCCGAGGTATTGGAAGTTTGTTAGCGTTCTCGCCTTTTCGGGCTTCCATCGCTCGAAGACGGCCCAGGAGGCCCCCAATATCACCCCAAGACAGACCAAGAGGCCCCCAACACGGCCGAAGGGGGTCCCAAGAGGTGAGAGGTGCCCGAGAGAGGGGGAACCGAACTGACATTCTGAGCCCTCCACCCAAGATGATCCTCGAGACCGCCAGTAGAGGCGTGAAGGGGGGAGGGGAAGGACGGGGAGCTAATAAGGAGCCCCCTTGATCCCACGAGCACTCTGGGCGCAGGTGGTTTAGCAAGTTCTCTCTTCCAACCCTCGTCTTACCATCTGCGGAGGGGTTTACCCCGTCTTCTCTTGAGCGCCAGAGGAAATTGCCCTTGTAAGCAATTTCGAGATTTGGAGCGGCTTGGGCCCGTTGGGGGCCTTCTTGGGGTTCTCTATATTAGAGGCCTCTGGGGCCGTTTGGACCCTTCTAGAGTCTCCTGGGGCTTAGAGGTCATCGCGAAGCCTTGAGTGCCAATCTGGCAGCGAAAAAAGGCGAGACGGCAACAATCACTGAGAGTCCTTACTTACGTTTTGAAAGATTATGACCTCTCGGGTGCGTACTTGGCTTGGGGCCGTCTTGAGGCCGTCTTGGAGCCTCTTGGAGGCATGCTGGAGGCCTTCTTGAAGAACCGTCTCGGGCTATCTTGTGCCGTCTCGGAGGCAACGAGAGAACCGAGATGCGAGCCTATATACTCGAGCCCCAACGGTCCCAATTACTTCTGCGCCCGTGCGAGGCTCTCTGTCTCTTCTGGGGGTCGGCGGAATTGCGTACGGCATGTTCGTGTCGTGCCGACTTCGGTTATGGTCTCCGACGCTGAGTGAACCGTTCAAACCTGAACGATCGGCGGCTTTTCGATCGCCAGATCGCTCAACACTGGCCGATTCTGGGCCACTGGCGGCGTTCGACCTTGAACGCCAGCGACGGGGTCGCCGCCAGTCGACACGACGCGAACCTACAGTAAGCCACTTGAACCATCTCGGGCTACGTTGTGCCGTCTTGGAGGCCATCATGGAGGCCATCTCGCCGTGCCTTGCCTTGCCGAGGCCTGAATACGGGGGCGTGGTGCGCCGGTCCCGTGGTCGCGCGGGGACCGGAGGGATTCGCCTGCTATGTAAGGGGAAAGCCCTCTGATGGCTCTGGACGGCACCCCCGCGACCCCTAGCAATGTCCAAGATGGCTCCAAGAGGACCCGCGATAGCCGAAGATGGCCTCCGAGATGGTACAAGGTAGCCCAAGATGATTGAGCATTGCCTTCAGCAAGCCACCAAGAGGTTCCAGGGGCGCCCCAAGACGGCTCTACATGGCCACGGAGCCATATCCCCGAGATGCGAACATGCTTGAACAACCCAAGGTGTGTCAATTAAGCTTACTCTCTGGCCGTTTCGCTTCCGATGGTTTGAGGCCGCAAGACCAATCCAGAGACCACCCAGGAAGTGCCCCATCAAGGCCCCAAGATGGCCCCAAAAGCCCCAAGTAGCGCCCCAAGAGCGTCTCAAGAGGGCAAGAGACAGCTTTCTGGGTCCAAAGGCAAGGCTAATTTGCCCCAACCCCTTTTTACTTGGTTGCTTCCAGGACGGCCTTGAGAGGACCCCGAAAGTCTCCCAGATGGCCCCCAAAGAGCCCAAAGAAGGCCTCAAAGGCTCGCCTCCCAAATGGGCACCCAAACAGCTCCGAGATGGCTCCAACAGGCTCCTGGCCCCTTGAGGTCTCTAAGTTCACCTATGTTGGCCTCTTTGTGTCACTATAAATGTATCAACGTTCCTTCTCCCGACAGCTCGTGTTGGCATCAGACAAATAATTCAGCACAAGACACGTAATGGGAAAGCTGGGGAGCGATGGGGAAATGGAAGGCGAGGGATGGGGCCCCCTTCTCCCCCTCCCCCTCCTCGTCCCCTTCCGCTCCCTCCATTCCTCCCTCCTCCCTTCTCTCTCCGCCCCCCCCTCCCCCCTCCTCTTCCTCCTCCTCCTCTTCCTCCTCCTCCTCCTCATCCTCCTCCTCTCCTCCTCCAGCTCCTCCTCCTCCTCCTCCTCCTCCTCTCCTCTTCCTCCTCCTCCTCCTCCTCCTCCTCTCCTCCTCCCCTCCTCCTCCTCCACCTCCCCCTCCACCTCCTCCTCCTCCTCCTCCTCCTCCTCCTCCTCCTCTTCCTCCTCATCCTCCTCATCATCCCCCTCCACCGCCTCCTCCTCCTCCTCCCCTCCTCCTCCTCCTCCTCCTCCTCTTCCCTCATCCTTCCCCTCCTGCTCTCTCCTGTCCTCCTCCTCCTCCTCCTCCTCCTCCACCTCCTCTTCTACCTGCTCCCTCCCTCCCTCACTTGGACCGTCGACCTGCCTCCGCGGAGGCAGACCACCTCTGGCCGCTTCCCCGAAAAGGCCTGACAGCCTGCTGGCATCCGACAGCGACACCAGCACCACGGGCGGCCCGCTTGTTGGCGCGTCCCGTTCGCCCCAGCAAAGCGCCTCTTGGGGTGGGCAATCATTACCGATACCCCCACTCCCCGGACCTTTCCCCGGGCGCATTCTGACCAGCATTCCGAAGAGAGTCCAGCCGTGCCGACGAGGGCTCTCCTTAACGAACGGCGGTATCGGCACTTCGCCCTCATCTGAGATCCGATATTGCGAAAAACTCGCAGCATCGCGAAAAATCGCAACTGGCGCCCTGGACCCCATCTTCCTGCTGAATTTTGCGAGCCGGATCCATCTGTGATGGCCCCAGGGCCCGAAACGACACCAAGATTCTCGGCGTGTAAAAATTGCAATGCCTCCAGGTCTGGTCCCAGGGTAAAGGATAAATCTGGGACTATTTGAGGACCACTTTCGTGGCGTATGTTGATCTGATGGAACTAATTTGATTGTTTGGTATGTTTTCTTTCGATCTATATCTCTCTCTCTCTCTCACTTTCTTCCTCTTTCTCCATATTTCTCTCTGTCCTTCTCTCTCTCTCTCTGTTTCTCTCTCTCTCTCTCTCTCTAGGGCCAGCGCAGCGCCAGAGGTGGGCAGGGGAAAATGCAGAATTACTCACTGCGTGAAGCTGCCCATATGTGCATCTCATGTTTTATGTCATGCCATAGTGAGCGTCTGTTCATGATCGCTTGACTATAATAGCGAATGGGCCCGTGTCCTACCCCCTGGCGGCTCTGAAAGCCAAGGATATTGGGCATGAAAACCAGCAAACCGCCTGAGACATCCCCACAAACTGGCCGCGAACGGGCCCGTGTCCTATCCCCTGGCGGTTCCTGATTAAAGGTGCTGAAACCAGCGCCCCGCCTGAGACATCCTCAAAATCTGATCGGAAAGCCAACGATGTTGGGCATGAACACAAGCACACCGCCTGAGACATCCCCACAAACTGGCCGCGAACGGGCCCGTGAAAACACCACTGGCGGCTCCCCTTAGGGGTGCTGAAGCCAGCGCCCCGCCTGAGACATCCTCAAAATCTGCTCTGAAAGCCAAGGATGTTGGGCATGAAAACAAGCAAACCGCCTGAGACATCCCCACAAACTGGCTGCGAACGGGCCCGTGAAAACACCTCTGGCGGCTCCCCTTAAGGGTGCTGAAACCAGCGCCCCGCCTGAGACATCCTCAAAATGAAAACAAGCAGACCGCCTGAGACATCCCCACAAACTGGCCGCGAACGGGCCCGTGAAAACACCCCTGGCAGCTCCCTTCAGGGGTGCTGAAACCAGCGCCCCGCCTGAGACATCCTCAAAATCTGCTCTGAAAGCCAAGGATGTTGGGCATGAAAACGAACATACTGCTTCAAATATCCCCACAAACTGGCCGCGAACGGGCCCGTGAAAACACCCCTGGCGGCTCCCCTTAGGGGTGCTGAAACCAGCGCCCCGCCTGAGACATCCTCAAAATCTGCTCTGAAAGCAAAGGATGTTGGGCATGAGAACCAGCAAACCGCCTGAGACATCCCCACAAACTGGCCGCGAACGGGCCCGTGAAAACACCCCTGGCGGCTCCCCTTGCGAGTGTGAGTATGAATAGGTGTGAATATGAGTAGGTCTCAGTCCGTGCGTTGAATAACTCTGACTATGAAAAAGGTCTGAATAAGTCTGTGTATGAGCAGGTCTGGGAAAGAGTCTAGGTATGAGTAAGTCTGGGTATGAAGGAGTCCCCGCATGAGTAAGTCTGAGAATGAGTAGTCCTGCATGTTGTGTGTTGAGTAAGTCAGACCATGAGAAGGTAGGCATAGGAATAAATCTGAGTATGAGTAAGTCTGTGTATGAGTAGGTATGTTCTCTCTGGTTCTCTGGAGTCGGCCGCGTCCGAATAATAATTTTTCACTGCGTGGAGCACCTCATACGTGCATCTCATGTTTTATGTCATGCCATAGTGAGCGTCTGAGATGAGGGTGCCATGCCTTTGTTTTGTGTCTTGTCAAGCCAAGGGCGTTGGGCATGCAACGAGCAAACCGCCCGAGACATCCCCACAAGCTGGCCGCGAACGGGCCCGTGAAAACACCCCTGGCGGCTCCCCTTAGGGGTGCTGAAACCAGCGCCCCGCCTGAGCATCCTCCAAATCTGATCTGAAAACCAAGGATGTTGGGCATGAAAACGAACGAACCGCTTGAGACATCCCCACAAACTGGCCGCGAACGGGCCCGTGAAAACACCCCTGGCGGCTCCCCTTAGGGGTGCTGAAACCAGCGCCCCGCCTGAGACATCCTCACAATCTGCTTTGAAAGCCAAAGATGCCGGGCATGAAAACGAACAAACCGCTTGAGACATCCCCACAAACTTGCCGCGAACGAGCCCGTGAAAACACCCCTGGCGGCTCCCCTTCAGGGGTGCTGAAACCAGCGCCCCGCCTGAGACATCCTCACAATCTGCTCTGAAAGCAAAGGAAAGAAAAGGATGTTGGGCATGAGAACGAACAAGCCGCTTGAGACATCCCAACAAACTGGCAACGAACGGGCCCGTGAGAACACCCCTGGCGGCTCCCGTTAGGGGTGCTGAAACCAGCGCCCCGCCTGAGACATCCTCACAATCTGCTCTAAAAGCAAAGGGTGTTGGGCATGAAAACAACCAAACCGCCTGAAGCATCCCCACAAACTGGCCACGAACGGGCCCGTGATAACACCCCTGGCGGCTCTCATTAGGGGTGCTGAAACCAGCGCCCCGCCTGAGACATCCCCGCAATCTGCTTTGAAAACAAAGGATGTTAGGCATGACGACGACCAAACCGCTTGAGACATCCTACAAACTGGCCGCGAACGGGCCCGTGATAATACCCTTGGCGGCTCCTTTTATGGGGTGCTGAAACCAGCGCACCGCCTGAGACATCCTCACAATCTGTTATGGAAGCAAAGGATGTTGGGCATGACAACGACCAAACCGCCTGAGACATCCCCACAAACTGGCAGCGAACGGGCCCGTGAGAACACCCCTGGCGGCTCCCCTTGGGGGTGCTGAAACCAGCGCCCCGCCTGAGACGTCCTCACAATCTGCTCTGAAAGCAAAGGATGTTGGGCATGAAAACAAGCAAACCGCCTGAGACATCCCCACAAACTGGCCGCGAACGGGCCCGTGAGAACACCCCTAGCGGCTCCCCTTAGGGGTGCTGAAACCAGCGCCCCGCCTGAGACATCCTCAATGTTTGCTCTGGAAGCAAATGATGTTGGGCATGAAAACAAGCACACCGCCTGAGGCATCCCCGCAAACTGGCCGCGAACGGGCCCGTGAAAACACTCCTGGCGGCTCCCCCATTAGGGGTGCTGAAACCAACGCCCCGCCTGAGACATCCTCACAATCTGCTCTGAAAGCAAAGGGTGTTGCGCATGAAAACAAGCAAACCGCCTGAGACATCCCCGCAAACTGGCCACGAACGGGTCCGTGGGAACACCCCTGGCGGCTCCCCTTGGGGGTGCTGAAACCAGCGCCCCGCCTGAGACATCCCCACGATCTGCTCTGAAAGCAAAGGATGTTGGGCATGACAACAACCAAACCGCCTGAGACATCCCCACAAACTGGCAGCGAACGGGCCCGTGAGAACACCCCTGGCGGCTCCCCGTTTTGGGGGTGTTGAAACCAGCGCCCCGCCTGAGACATCCTCAGAACCTGCTCGGACAGCAAAGGATGTTGGGCATGAACACAAGCAAACCGCCTGAGACACCCCCACAAACTGTCAGCGAACGGGCCCGTGAGGAGAACACCCCTGGCAGCTCCCCTTAGGGGTGCTGAAACCAGCGCCCCGCCTGAGACATCCCTGAATTCTGCCGTGTGTTGAGTAACTCAGACTATAGGAAGGTATGAATATGTGTAGGTCTGAATAAGAGTCTGTGTATGAATACGTCTGGGTGTGAGAAAACCTGAGTGTGAGTAAGGTCTGTGTAGGTGTACGTCTGGGTATGAGTAAGTCTGAGTATGAATAGGTCTGAGTATGAGTATGTCTGAGTACGAGTAAGTCTGTGTATGGGTAAGTCTGTGTATGGGTAAGTCTGGATATGAGTAAGTATGTGTATGAATACGTCTGGGTATGAGTAAGTCTGAGTATGAGTAAGTCTGTGTATGAGTAAGTCTGTGTTCTGGGTGTTCTTGTTCTCTGGAGTCGGCGGCGTCCAAGAAATAACAAGAGCCCATCTTAGGATATGGGGAACAAGAACCCCATCTTAGGATATGGGGACCAAAAGATCCCGAGCCATCCATGCGATAAATATGCACAATTTGCGGAAAAAAAACGTAGTTTTGGCCAGTTGGTGCCCACGGAACCTGCGAAAACACAGCGTTTCGTCACGTCGATGCGCGACAATGTTTGGTAGCTCTGGTGTCCAGAACATATGTTTCCCTTGGGCGTTGCAGCCTTTTCGCATGGATTGCTCATGATGTCTTTAGGTGTTATTTCTTTTTTTTGCGCAGTTGCGTTGTTTTGTATTTTCGCCTGTTCGCGCCGTGGCGCTGCAACGGCCCTCGCGCCGCCCGAAGCAGGCAGGCGAAAATGCAAAGCAACAACAACACTATCAACAAAACAAGAACATGCAAAACAACAACAACAACAACAACAACAATTACTAGCACGTGGGGACACTCCGTTCTCACCAGTGCCAGGGTTTTCATACGACGCCCGCCAATACCCCCACTTTGTGGGGGGGCCGGCTCAAGCTCTACCACATTTCCAAACGACTCTTCGCCACCACCCACACCCAGCTTCCCGCCCTATGACGTTCGGACACTTCACTTCGTGGCCTGCGGACGACCGTGGCTACTACACCGGCGCATGGGTACAGTGACTTGTTGTGGTAACATTTTGAAGGGATTGTGGCCCCTGGCAGGCGCGCGAACGCCGTTGAAAGAGCTTGCGAAAGTAGCTCGCGCGAGCTCATGTAACATAAATGTTGAAAAACCATTGGTTTTTTAATGATTCGGACAGCGCGCGCGGGTAGAAATTTTGAAAAGTCGTGCAGGTGTTTTTCGAGGACCTACGGTGCGATTCGTGTGATTTTATGATGCGCGGT